CGCTTGGGCCAGTCCTTCACAACGTCGGTCTTGTCGACCATCTTGGCTGCCGCTGGGGACACAACGAAGAAATCGATCCGCGAGTGGGCCTTCGCCGTCACGCAGGTTTCGATCTTCGGCTGGAGGATCAACATATCGGCTTTCCTCAGCATCCCCGTAAGCTCGATTATCGTCGGTCCCAGGTTCCAAGCAGCCCCGAAGATGGCCATGTGGGTCCCCTGGAGCGTTTCCCCGATCAGTTTGAGCAACTCGAGGTTTCGCTTCGACAGCCCCTCGGTGGTGTACAAATACGCAACGCCCGCCAAAATCGGCGGCCATCCTGGTATGTCTAACATCGCAAAGAGGAGACGGTGTTCAACGAGTACCCCTCGCGGTAAGTGTGGAGGCCACCGAAGTCCGACACTCGTTCTGGCAAAAATCGCTACTCCAGCCGACGTCTGCCCCGCATCGCAAGGTACCGAAGGTGTGCAGAGCATACGCCATCCCATACCAAGAGCTTTCGCAGTTTTGTCACCAACATCTTCAGCCGTGATCCCAATCTCCTGGGCCATCAAAACCAAGGCTGAACTCCTCGCAAGACGTTCCGAGAGCGTGCCCCAACTGTTACCGTTATAGGACTCGCACACAAACTGGAACTTATCAGCCGTGAGATCGTCGGCAATCGGAGTTGGCGGACAGCCTGACCCCATGGCCGAAATCTTAAAACCCGTGCACAGCGGCTGGCCAGCAAACGGGGCCAGTCTAGACATCTTAACGTGATCTCGGTCCCTCCCCTGATGCGAGCATCTGGTCACGTGGCTCGAGACGCCCGAAGGTGGGAACCGTTCCTGATAAAAGTCGCCGTCCGCGAGCTCCACTCGCCGAGGGCTGCTGCTGCTGTCATGCCGCCGCACCCCCGAAGAAGTGCTCAGAACACGACGTCCACGTTGTGCATCGTGATGTGCGCCGTCAAAGACTCCCTGAATCTGGTGGTGCCGCCGTCGGTGCTGTCCCCGTTGAAGGCGTTGCAGGCGCAGCTCCTGGCGAGGACACCCGTACCTTCTTGAACTTGGCGGCAACCAGCGCTTGCACGATAACCCTTCTATCACCTCGGTGTTGCTCCCAGAAACTTTCAGCCTCTGCGGTGGACCCGAAAGCATCATCCATTTGAGCATCACCAGAATCATCATCCGCAGCTTCAGTACGCGGCTCTTGCTTCGTCTTGGACTGCGAGTAGAGCTGCGTGAACTGCTTGAAAACGTCCGTCTGGATGAGATTATTGACTTCATCTTTGCCTTCCAACAAATGATCAGGAATCGTGAAATCAAAATCGACCCCCCCAGCAACCAAAGGAGACTGCTTGAGCTGTCCCCTGATCTCGTCGATCTCGGCCTTGAGCACAGTTTGCTTCGCCTGGAGCTCGTCCCTCTTGGCCGTCGCATCCTTGATGGCCTTCTCCTGCTCCTCGGCTTCCTCGACTGCCTTTTTGAGTTGACTCTCCTTGCGCGCCAGCTTGTGACCCAAGTTGGTGTGCTGTGTGACGTCACTCTTCTGGCTCTCGATCTGCTTGCGTACATCACGGAATTGAGCCTCGAGAGACTTGCGGGCTTCCTCCATGTACTCACTCTTGCATGCTTTGATAGCCGTCTCCAACTCGTTGGCCTTGGCAACCAAGGCATCAGGTTTATCATCTTTGTCATCAGCGCCACTTCCCTTCCCACCACCGTGACCGTTGGACGGGACGTCCTTGGTGGGCGGGGTCTGCTTGGTGAGCTGGTCCAACTGCTTCTGCATGGCGGCGAGCGTCTTGGCGAGCCCGACGTCCTTGGGCTGCCCACGCTGAGCACCACCGCCACCACGAACAGGAGGTTTGCCACCACCAAACGATTTGGCGCGCTGAAGGACGTGTGCTGGTGCCGCTTCACCGCAGCGGCACTTGAGGCGACACGCCCAGTTACTCGTTCTTCCACAGGACTGACATCCCCAGAGAGGAAGTTTCGGTCCTTGGACCATGTCATTGTTCATCTGCGCTCCTCCAGGAGCTCACTGAAAACAATCACTGTCGTACCGAGCCAAAAAGGCCCGCACCAGCTGCTGCCGCTCTGAAGAAAGCTGGGGGAGGGAGGGAGGGAGGGAGGGAGGGAGGGAGGGAGGGAGGAAGGAGTAGGAGGGAAAGTGCTTTGCGGGGGAGATGCGCGCTTCTCTTTGGTCTCCAGGAGGCTTTTCGAAACACTACGGCCAGGTTCCTCTCGGAGCCATGCCCTTGAAGCGCGCCCCGGGATGGGCCCGAGCGTTCGACGCCAAGCCCCTGAAGCCCAAACACCTGGAACACGTTCCGGCTCTGCCTCCTCCTCCTCCTCCTCCTCCTCCTTCTCCTCCTCCCCCCCTCCTCTTCATCCTCCTTCTCTTCTCCTAGTTGTTAATATTTGATTTGCCTATTCGTATTACGCATTTTTCCTCAGTAGCAGTGGTCTTGATATTATTCTGAGTAGTGGTACCTGTATGATTGTGCTAGTGCTGCTTCTTCATGCTAGTTTTCATACTTGGGGAGATGTGTGAGTTTGTTGATGGTTGTCTCCGGGAGGCGTCTCGTCGCCACAGCCGGAGTCCTCTCCAAGTCCTGCCCCAAGCCACACCCCAGTGGATGGGCAGAGGGGTTCAACGTCTGACCCCAGAACCCCTAAGACCCCCCCCCTCGCGGCCTGCAGAAGCACGACGGTCGCTGGCCTGGCTGCTTCGGGCGACCCATTGAGACGGGGGATGGCTTGTCACATCAACGGCAGACGAGAACGCTGCTGCCTTCTCAGCGAGGCGGGGATATATCCATATCCACTGCCTGGGGAACCGACGTCCTGGCTGGGACCCCTGCAGGCGGTGGATCTGATATGCGTTGGCCTCAAAGGGTCCGAATATGTGTGTATATATATATATGTATGTATGTATGTGTGTCTATAAATAGCGAGAGAGATATGTGCAACCTCATAAGTGTATACACCATCTGTGTATATACGTATTTCCACCATGGCACCGACTAGTACCGTCCCAGAAGAGCGATCCCCCGGGCTGTGGTGATGATGCGTAAATCGCCGCCTCGGACTCTCGGGATGGACCTCGTGCTCCCTCGAGGGGAGAAGGGACAGGAAGAGGAGGAGGGAAAGGAGGAGGAGGAGGAGGAGGAGGAGGAGGATCTCGGGGCCTCCGTAGGAGACCTCGGGAGACATGTGGGCCACCAGAGACCTCGGGAAAACCCCGGAAGTCGCCAGAGACCTTCGGAGCGAAGAACAGATAACCACAACCGCTGGGCTGAGGGAGCTGCCCCTGGCGCCCCTCCAAGACCGACCCCGACCCCCAGCGGTGATGACCTGCGCACGGCGCCCGATCTCGCGTGCCGCACCAAGGCCACTTCGATCCGTCGAGGAGAAGGGGGAGGCAGGGGCGGGAGGAGGGAAAATGAGGGGGAGGGGGGGCAGGCAGGAAGAGGAACGGAGAAGGGCCAGGAGGAGGGAGGGGAGAAGGAAGGGGAGCAGGGAGGGGCGAAAGGCGAACGGCGCCCGATCGCAACTGGAACGGTCCGGTCACGATTACTAGCACCGATCGCAACCAGTTGTGATCTGCCCCTACCACTTGCGACAAAACGGACGCCGTTGAACACGTAGTATAAAAACCCACGGGCTGACAATAATAGCTTCAGGATAGAACAGCCTCCCTTAAGTGTGTGTGTGTGTATTTTGGGCACTGCAACAAGAACGATTGCGAACTGTTCGTGGTACAACTGCTTTGAGCCAGTCTATACAAGACGACCGAGAACTATAACGACACACACACACACATCTGCAACGAGACAATCGTGCAAGAATTCATTCATTGCCGAAATCGTGGCAAGATTTCAGTGGAAATTCGGATTCAGCTGACTATGGAACGTGCCGGGAGGAGCCCGTGCAAATCCTAAAACAATTCTGGGGAATCCATCATTCCAAAAAAAACAAGAAGCCTGTAGGAATCCCACGAATCCCTCTTAGGATTCCTCACTGATCCCTGAGGGATCCCAACGAAGGCTTTCAGAAGCCTCCCCGAAGCCTTTTTTAGAAGCCTCTCAGAAGCCAAAGCCTTTCAGATGCCTCCCAAAAGCCTCCCGGTAGCCATCAAAAAGCCTCCCAGAAGCCTCCCAGAAGCCTCCCAGAAGCCTCTCAGAAGCCTCCCGGCAGCCTCTCAGAAGCCTCCCACAGGCCTCTCGGAAGCCTCCCAGAAGGCCCCTTATCAGATGCCATGAGGAAGCACGACGCACGAAGCACGCCCGCACATGGGCACTGTCTGAGGTGCTGCGGGTGCGGCGCTGGAGCGCCGGAGCGTCAGAAAGTGATGCCCGATCAGACATCCTGCCCGAACGTGTTCCAAAGCTCTGCTGTGGCAACCTTTGCGGATCCATTATGATTCGCCTGTTGTACTCAATGTTTGAGCCCATCTCCATGTCCGTTGCTTCACAAAGGAAACCCAGTCGTTGATTCGTAACCGCTCAATTGCCGCCTCTGCGTCGTGAGTAGCACGTTGGACCCACTCTGCCCATGGATCCAGCGGTTCGGGCGTTGCTTCGTCGTCGTGCGTCGGCGGTGTGGTGGGCGTGTGGTCTGACGTCGTGCTCTCTTTCGCCCGTGCTGTCGTCGCCAAGCTGGTGGTTGCTGTCTTGGCGGTTGTCGGTACTGGTCTGTGTCGGATGTGGCGCCGGCTGGGAGCAAGCCTCTCGGAAACCGCACAGGCACTCGCAAGAGGCCATGCAGAGGCTCGCGCAGAGGCTCGGAAGAGGCTCGGGAGAGGCAGCGCAGAGGCGCGTAAGAGGCCGCCCGCAGGTAAGGGTACTGTCTGTTTCAATTAGTTTGTGGTCCCACCCATTCGGGTGGTTGTAGCCTGCGCCTGCTTTGTTTGGTTACTGAGCAGTCTGAGTGTTTGCGATCGGGTTGTATTCTCGGGCAGAGTGATGAGGAGGTGAAGGAGGAGGAGGAGGAGGAGATGACGGAGGAGGAGACGGAGGAGGAAGAGGAGAAGGAGGAGGAGGAGGGAGGACGGATGGGATCAAGATTTGCCACGGAGGGAGGGTGCAGTCGCGAGCCCTGGACAGCACGCAACGCGACCTCGCCACCTGCCCTGAGAAGAAAACTGGCTCGGGACCGCGGATCCCACGGGCCAGGAGGCCGTGTTCTCGCGACCTGTTGTCTTGCAGTGTGCGAGGACACTGGCGAGGATGACAGCCAGACCACAAGCTGTCCCTAACTACGCTTCGCGCGAGAGCACGAAAAGGTGAGCCAATGCGGCCCCTCCAAACGACGGAGCCTGACCATGGTACCCACAGTCCTACTACTAGGCTCAGTCTTTCTTCCACTCCTTCGAGCCGATCACAGTGCAATTGAGCGAGCACTGCATCATCACCTTCTGGCCATCCATCTCCATGGGAACCTTCGCGGACAAGAAGAAGCCACAACTGCCTGTACTAAATTCCCGCGGAGGCACGCTGAAATTAGAGTCGCCGAGCTTCACCGGAAACGTTCTGGCCTTCTTCATAAACCCACCACGCGTGAACAGCCCTGCCTGCCTCCTCTTCGTTCCGCCGAGCTCGCCTGACTTTCTACCGGAACCCGTCTCCTTGCTGCCCGCGCTTCGCGGTGGCGTTGAGGGTTGGCCTGCAGCCGGGGTGCCCTCGTCCTGGCCAGCCTCCTGCAGCTCAGCGATCTTGGCAGTGACGATATCCTTGACCTTCGCCTTGTGATTGCTCAGGGTGCCCTCGGCCAGCCCGCATCTGGCCTCCAGCAGCCCTCGAACGTCCTTCATCGACGTCTTGGTCAGGTCCTGGCCCTCGAGGATTGCCGTGACGTGGCCCTTGAGCGTCTCGTCGGAGGGCAGGGCGGCCGCTTCCGGTGCTGGCCAGGCAGTGCCAGGGGGGCACCACTACCGAACAGACGTAAGACTCGACTCGGGGGACCCGAACTTGCCTGACGAGGCCGTCAGGGAAATGCTGGGACCTGCTCCGAAAATTGGCGCGAGCTCCCGCTGCAAACCTCCCACGCAAACTGGACCGTCCGAATTCGCGCCGCGTCCTGGAACCTCTCACGAACACTGGGAGAGTGGCGGCAAGCCCGGGTCCTGGCAAGAGCACGGGGAGCACGAGCCTTGCGCTTCCCCAGCACCCACGGGTCGCCACCTGCTCGAGGCGGACGGCGGACGTCCCTCGGGACCCCCCCTCCCCGCTCCCCCGCATTTTTGACAAAAAGTGGGCGCCTCCCTGGACGCCAAAAGCCTGGACTCCTCTGGGAAGCAGCCCTCCTCCTCCTCCTCCTCCTCCTCCTCCTTCTCCTCCTCCTCCTCCTCCTCCTCCTGCTCTTCCTCCTCCGCCTCCTCCTCCTCCCTCCTCCTCCCTCCTCCTCCCTTCTCCCTCCTCCTCCTTTTCCTCTTCTTCTTATTATCAGTATTATTCTTCTTATTATTAGTATTAGTCTTCTTATTATTCTTATTATTCTTATTAGTAATCTTCTTAGTATTAGTCTTACTATTATTATTCTTCTTCTTAGTAGTAGTATGAGTATTCTTCTTATTCATAGTACTCTTATTAGTATGCTTAGTCTTCTTATTAATCGTATTATGTGTTGTTAGTCTCCTTATTCGTATTGTTATTCTTATTCGTCTTCTTCTTCTTATTATTATTATTCTTAGTATTATTATTGTTCGTCTTCTTCTTCTTATTATTATTATTAGGATTCGTATTATTCGTATTATTATTATTAGTAGTATTATTATTAGTATTACTAGTATTATTCTTATTCGTCTTCTTATTCGTCGTTTTATTCTTAGTCTGCTTATTATTTGTCTTCCTCCTCCTCCTCATCCTCCTCCTCCTCCTCCTCCTCCTCCTCTTCCTCCTCCTCCTCCTCCTCCTCCTCCTCTTCCTCCTCCTCCTCCTCCTCCCCTCCTCCTCCGCCTCCTCCGCCTCCTCCTCCTCCTCCACCTCCTCCTCCTCCTCCTCCTCCGCCTCCTCCTCCGCCTCCTCCGCCTCCTCCTCCTCCTCCTCCTCCTCCTCCTCCTCCTCCTCCGCCTCCTCCCTCCCTCCTCCTCCTCCTCCTCCTCCCTCCTCCGCCTCCTCCTCCTCCGCCTCCTCCGCCTCCTCCTCCTCCTCCTCCTCCTCCTCCTCCTCCTCCCTCCTCCTCCGCCTCCTCCGCCTCCTCCGCCTCCTCCCTCCTCCTCCGCCTCCTCCTCCTCCTCCTCCGCCTCCTCCTCCTCCGCCTCCTCCTCCTCCTCCGCCTCCTCCTCCTCCTCCTCCTCCTCCTCCTCCTCCTCCTCCTCCTCCTCCTCCTCCTCCTCCTCCTCCTCCCTCCTCCTCCTCCTCCTCCTCCCCCTCCTCCCCCTCCTCATCCTCCCTCCCCCTCCTCCTCGCAGCCCCACCTCCGCCCGAGCCACAGGCCCAGCGCCCGTGCAAAAACACGCCCCCCTCGGAGAGCCGCTCCGCCCCAGGGGTGGCGATCCGCCCCCCCCCCCCCCCCGGCACTGCCCGAGCTGCGCCGCCCGCGGCGCCGCCGCCGCCGCCCGCGGAGGCGGGCAGGGCCGCCGCCTCGGGCGGGGCGGCGGCCGCTGGCGCGGCATCGCCCCGGGCGCCGTCCATCTGCGGCTCGAGGCGCGGCCGCCGGCGGAGGCGCGGCCGGCGAGCGGGCGCGGGGCTCGGGAACGGAGCGGCTGCGCGCCGGGCGGTGGCCGCGGGCTGCGCGGAGCTGCCAGGAGGGGGTCCTGGCCCAGGGCGCCCCCCAGGGTCTCCCTGGGCGCGGGGGGCCCAAGAGGCACCGATGCCGCTGCTCCCCAGACCCTCCAGGGGGTTCGCTCTGGCCAGACGGTCGAGGCGGATCCAGCCGCGGCGACGAGGGCATCCGAGGAGGCCCAGAAAGGGGGCAAGGGTAGCGGCGTAGGTATCTTTTCCTCCTCTGGGGGAGGGGCCCGCGCAGATCGCTTGCAGAGCACCCTTCGCGAGAGGCCCGCGGGGGCCGCAGAGGGGCTGCGCGAGTGCGGGGGGGCACCCTGGGCGCCGTGGGGGTCGCCTGGGGGCGTGTCTGGCCCAGGGGTGTCCACAGTAAAGGGGCCCAGGGGCACACAAATAAATATATACACATCCCACTATTGTTGATATGTCCCCATATGTTCTAGGTTTTCGTCTTCCTCTCCACTTCCGTATTTCTTATATTTTCCTGGGATTCGACAACTAATGTTGTCTGTATTGTTTTCCCCTCCTCCCATAGCTGTCCGCGCCACTTTGTAGCCCCATCGGACCCTATGGGCCTCGTGAAGGCTGCTTGGGAGGGACATGCAGCATCGGGGGGGACGAAAGGGTAGGACTGCACAGGGCAGCGTGGAGAGTCAGCTCGCGTAGCGGGTTTCCCTGGCGCCTCCTGGCGCCAGGAGGCACTCTGTATCGAGGAGTGGGCCTGGCGGCGGTGCGGAAACCAGCTGCATGCAGCAGGTTTCGTAACCCCCGCTTCCCCGATCCTACCCTTTCTGTCCGGCCCGACCGTAGACGCATACGATACGACATGCTGCTATACGAGATCTTGGGGCACGTCGTCCGTCGATCCCTGAGGGTGCCGAGGCGCCCCAGAGCCCTGGTGCCATCGGGGGGCACAACTAGAAGAAACAACAAAAACGCCATAACACACAAACTGCTGGCGCTCCGCGCGGATCTGCTGGATCTGCGCTGGACGCCCCTCTCTTGCGCGCGGGAGCGCGCCAGGGGCGGCGCCGGAGGCGCCGCCGGGGGGGCCCGGCGCGGATCCAAGAAACCCGCGCGGAGCGCCACCAGTTTATGTTTATGGCATTCTTTCTTCATCGAAAGAGAGGAGGAGGGAGGGAGGAGGAGGAGGAGGAGGAGAGGAGGAGGAGGAGGGAGGAGGAGGAGGAGGAGGAGGAGGAGGAGGAGGAGGAGGGAGGAGGGAGGAGGAGGAGGAGGAGGAGGAGGAGGAGGAGGAGGAGGAGGAGGAGGAGGAGGCGGAGGAGGGAGGAGGAGGAGGAGGAGGAGGAGGAGGAGGGGGAGGAGGAGGAGGAGGAGGAGGAGGAGGAGGAGGAGGAGGAGGAGGAGGAGGAGGAGGAGGAGGAGGGGGGGGAGGTTTGCGGCGATATCTCTTCTTCGAAAAGCGTGCCCCTGGGGGCGCCTGCTGGCGGGCCGAGCTCGCGCACCTGCCGTGCCCACGTACTGCGCGCGCCTCGCCCTGGAGGGAAGCCGCGGCCACGCCCGGGGCCAGGGCCACCGCCCTGGCAGCGGCGGCACCCGGCCGTGCGCACTCCCACGACGACGAGCAAGCAGACCACAGCTGCGGCTGACCAGGTGCGCCCAAGGAGCGTCCAGGAAGGCTCGACGAAGCAAAGGAGGGAGGGAGACGAGGCAACGAGGGACAACCAAGAAGCGTCCAGGAAGGTTCGCCTAAACAAACGAGGGAGGGAGAGGAGGCAAAGAGGGACAACCAAGAAGCGTCCAGGAAGGTTCGCCTAAACAAACGAGGGAGGGAGAGGAGGCAACGAGGGACAACCAAGAAGCTTCCAGGAAGGGTCGATTGAACAAACGAGGGAGGGAGAGGAGGCAAAGAGGGACAACCAAGAAGCGTCCAGGAAGGTTCGATGAAACGATCGAGGGAGGGAGAGGAGGCAAAGAGGGACAACCGAGGAGCGCCCAGGAAGGTTCGATGAAACAGACGAGGCAGGGAGGGGAGACAGACAGACGGGGGCAAGCGTGCTTCTGGTGCAGCTCACGCTGCAGGCAAGCCGTGTGCGTGCGTTGGCGAAGAAGAATAGGGGGGCACATGCGAACCCTACCCCCACCCCACACGATTTCTGAGGGGGAGGGTGGGGTTCATCTCATTCGGGAGCTCCCGAACGAAGTGAACCCCACCCTCCCCCTCAGAAATCGTGGGGGGTAGGGGTAGGATTCGCATGTGGCCCCCTGGAAGAAGAACACCAGGCGGCGCCGGGGCTGCTGCGGGACTGCGGCACCAGCCGGCGCCGCCTTGCCCAGCTCCGCGCGCGGGGCTGCGCGGGCCGCCGCGCGCGCGGGGCGCGGCAGGCCAGGGCAGAGCAGCATCCCGGTCGTGGCCGTGCCACGCTCGGGGGGGCGCGTCAAGGCGGGAGCCAGGGGCGGAGGGAACGCCGTCCCGGCCAGCCCCTGGGAAGGGGGGGAACCTCGCCCTCAAGCTGGGTTCGGCCCCCAACCCCACCCTTGGACAGGTCTGGACGCCCGACAGGGAGTACGGAGAATACGGGCACGATGCCCACCAGCCAACGGTGTCCAAAACCACCAGCGGCCGCTGTTGGGCAGAAGGCGCTTGTGCCCCGAATGGACAAATGCCGCGGCGACGCCGACGGCGATCCCTGTCCCCAAGGAGCAGGAGCCGCGGTCGGTCTTCGCACACAGCCTTTCTGTGTGCCCCTCTCCTCCTGCACGCCCTCGACGCGACGCGAGGGGGGTCCTGGCCCTGCCCTGGCTCCCCTCGAGTCGGGCGTCGACAGAACTGGACTTAGTGGGACCTGGTTTGGTGATTTGTACTGGGGGAGGCCTCCCCCCCGCCCCGTTCCACTATAACCAGAACTGCCGCCACCCGAAAAACACCAGCTGCGGCAGACCTGGTTCTCAGTGACTCTGGCCATATTCAGGGGCTCGGGGGCCCTACCACTAACCGGGTCCCCTCCTCCTCCTCTTCCTCCTCCTCCTCCTCCTCCTCCTCCTCCTCCTTCTCCTCCTCGTCCTCCACCTCCTTCCTCCATCCAACTTCTGGTGGCGGTGGACTACGAGCCCATAGGTCGTGTCTCACCCCGCCCGCGGGCCGCAGCGCGCCTCGAGCATCCCGAGCCTCGAGGCGCGAGGGGGCACCTGGGTGCCCAGGGAGAGAGCTGCGTGCCTCTGGCAGCCGAGCTCCGCCTCGACTTTGAACAACAAAAACACACGCAGCGTCCTCCTCTCGGGGGGGCGTCCCACGAGGGGCGCCGCGAATCATGGGCCGAGATTGCGTCGGCCATGATATCCACCCCCCTCGTCATCACCCCCCTCCTGGCCGCCCGCGCTCCCGCCCCGGCGGCACCCAGGCGAGGAATGGAGGGGAGGTACGGCGCGGAGGAGCTACCCGGGTAGGCTGGCGCGCCTAGGCCCCCCGAGCAGCTGGCCCGCCACGGCGGCGGCGGGATCACCGAGGGCGGCTCCGAGGATCGAGGCGATGCAGACCTGCCCATCCCTTGTCCCTCCCTCCGACACATCTGGCGTGCTGGCTGCTTCAGCCCCAGACTTCTTCCTTCAATCCAGACTTGTTCCATCACTCCGGCATCCAAGGGCCGCTTTCAGGCCCCCAGGAAATCAAAAATGGGCCTGGGGCGAAAAACTACCCCTCCAGGGGAGAGGTCTGGATCTTGGCGCCGCGGATGAAGAACATCACATCGCCGTTTGTCTTGGCTCCTTCCCTCCCTCCCTGTCCACTTTCCTCCTTTCTCCTCTTCCTACTATTAATCTTGTAGTCGAGCACTACCTCATACGAGATATGAGGCTGCTGCTCGAGCCAACTTGTTGGCCTGACCCCAATTGGGCGCAAAGATGCACACACCTGCAAAAATAGTGCCAGCGCTGACCCCCGAACACATTGAGCGTTGGCGTTCTGGATGTGCAGGCGGTGCAGTGGAAGCTATGTGGTGCAATCCACTCTGCTGAACTTGAAGTCGTCATCTCCACTGCTCGCGCAAACATCCCACCCACCCACCCGCAATTTGGTTCGCAAAACCTCTTAAGACCGACTACGGCGACGCCGACGACAACGACGACGACGACACCGACAACGTCTCCGACGACTTCGACGACGACACCGACGCCGACGCCGAAGACGACGAAGACGACGACGACGCCAACGAAGACGACGACGAGGGAGGAGAAAGGACGACGACGGCGACAACGACGACAACGACGACAACGACGAGGGAGGAGAGAGGACGGCGACGAAGCGAACGACGAAGAAGGAGGAAGGACGGCGACGCCGACGGCGACAACGACGAGGGAGGAGGGAAGACGACGACGACAACGACGACGACGGCGACGGCGACGAAATAGGAGGGACGACGACGAGACGCCGACGACGGACGACGACGACGACGACACCGACGACGTCTCCGACGACTTCGACGACGACACCGACGCCGACGCCGAAGACGACGAAGACGACGACGACGCCAACGAAGACGACGACGAGGGAGGAGAAAGGACGACGACAGCGACAACGACGACAACGACGACAACGACGAGGGAGGAGAGAGGACGGCGACGACGCGAACGACGAAGAAGGAGGAAGGACGGCGACGCCGACGGCGACAACGACGAGGGAGGAGGGAAGACGACGACGACAACGACGACGACGGCGACGGCGACGAAATAGGAGGGACGACGACGAGACGCCGACGACGGACGACGACGACGACGACGAGGGAGGAGGAGGAAGGACGACCACGGCGACAACGACGACGGAAACGACCACGACGCCAAAGAGGACGACGACGACGAACACGAGGAAAAACAGAGGACGACGCAGGCGACGACGACGACGACGACGCGGGAGGAGGGAGGACGGCGACCACGACGACGACGACGACGCAAGAGCGCGCGCGCACGCTTTTGTTGAAAATGCGTGTTGCGAAACCTTGGGTTTTTGTAGGTTTTTTGGACACACGA